TGTTTTTCAAATGATAGGCATCTTTTTTTAAAGCTCTTTGCTACTACAAAAGTGCTGCTATTAATATTTTAGTATATATGAGATCTTTATTTCTGATTTTTACTTCCTTGGGATATATACCTAGCAGTGGGATCTCTACATATGAACATTTTAATCACTTAAAATATTAACATATAAGGGGCAGCTAGGTGGCACAGTGGATAGAGCATGGGCCCTGAAGTCAGGAGGACCTGAGTTCAAATCTGGCCTCAGACCAAACACTTGACACTTACTAGCTGTGTGACCCTGGGCAAGTCACTTAACCCAAATTGCCTACAAACAAACAAACAAACAAATTAACATATAAATACATATATACAAATACACACATATACATATATATATATATACATATACATATACATATGTGTGTATACCGAAATGCTTTCCAGAATGGTCGGACCAATTCACAACTCCATCAAGAGTATATTAGTGTGTCTTCCTTTCCTCAGTTCTTCCAGCATTCACTATTTCCATCTTTTGTCATCTTTGCCAATTTGCTGGGTGTGAAGTGAAATTTCAGAGTTATTTTGATTTTCATTTCTCTTATTCATTACTGTTTTAGAACAATCTTTTGTTTGGTTATTAATAGTTTGTAATTCTTTTAACAGTTGTTCACATCTTTTCACTAATTATCCACTGGGAAATGGCACTTAATCTTATCTGTGTTCATATCCAATAAATCTTAGATTTTTGATAGATATTTGATGCAGAGATTTTTCCCACTTAACTTCACTTCTAACCTTAGCAGCATTCATTTTGTTTGTTCAGAAACTTTTCAATTTCGTGTAATGGAAGTTATCCATTTATTTCTTGAGACTGCGTCCTTCATTGTTTTGTTAAGAACTCTTCCCCTAGCCGTAGCTATGAAATGTACTTGATATTATTCTCTTTGAATTATTTTTGTGGTATAAAATATTCAAACCATATATCCATTCAGCCCTTATTGTGGTATATGATGGAGAATACTTTTGACATAGAAATCTTCATTGTAGTAGGATTTAACGTGTAATTAAGAAAAGATGAATGTACATGTGGAGTGTATGCATAATATTTGCACTGCACATATGCCTTTGAATGTCCTACAGTTGAAAGAAGCCCTCTAGTTTACTGCAAGCAGCGTTGGGGTAGTGGAAAGCATTCTAGGCTTGAATTCAAAGAGCCAGCTTGGAGCTGTCCTTTTGCCATGACTCTGAGCAAGGCACTCAACCTTTATGGGAATAATAATACCTGCACTCTCACTAGGTTGTTGTGAGCGAGTAATGTGCTTCATAAATGTAGTTATTAATTTCCATAAGGTGCCAAACATGCTGTAAGTCATAAATGTATGAGCAATAATAATATGCCTGAATGACCAATGTGTTTAACTTGCTAAATACCAGGAGGGACATTCTCTTGCAGTTGGTCTTTTGATACATAGAAAGATCCCTTGAATTATGGAGTGGCCTCCATAATTCAAGGGATGTCAGCTGTTATTCTCAGAAGCTAAACTGGCCTCATTGGGCTACTTCTTATAATGAGCGCTCACTAGTATTATGATTCTGGAATCATTTCCATTGGAAATTCCCCTTTCCACACCAATTTAAAAGGCAGCTGGTGCAGTTGGCTTTAAACCAAAATCTGCTTTACCAGTGATTCTCTAAATTTTATTTACACTGATTCTTATTTCATGTGCAGTAGGCTCAAACTCTCACTTTCCCAGGTGCCAGATGCTGGTTTGGACACACTCCAGTGGAAAGTGCTTTCCTGTAAAATAGTAAAAGTGAAGTGCTGAACATACACACACACACACACACACACACACTGCCGTTTTATGTCAGTCTTGCTCCACTACAGCTCTGACACTAGCAAAAGGAAGTAGTATAATAATGAGTTCACTATTTTGCCTGCACTTGCAAGTCCCATGATGCCCTCTTCTCTTACCATTCGAGCTAAATGGACTTGCCCTTTTTCTGACATGTAATATAAGTGCTTACAGTATTCGTGTATCTGTAAGCTCCAGAGTTTAAAGCTGTATGTTTAATATGCTTCAAACAGTGCTTAACACAACACATACTAATAGGGGCTTAATAAATATGTTTTGATAAGAAAGCTGCAGAATTCACACACATATATACACAAATTTTGAGACATTCAGGAACCTTTAGCCATTTTGTGTGAACATCCCAAGTGATTTAATGAAAACCCCAACATTTCACCTATGTGTGCACATACACACATACATACATCTCTATGTGTAATTAAGCATAGTTAATATTGTTACTGTAGTGGCCAACATTTTGATTGGTACCCCTTCCAAAAACTAACGTGGAAACCCATCTGTGCTGTGTATTTGAACAGTGTTTCTCCTGGTAATTAGAGGCAACCTTCTATCCAAAGGTTTTCAGATGCAAAGTGAGCAGTAGTGCCGGGGAGACAAAGTAAGGAGATATAACTTGTATGTCTTGCTCCTCTCCTCTTGGCTTTCCCTTCAACCTTTTCCTGGGTTGTGTGGTAACATTTTACTGAACTGAAAATCCATGTACTGCCTTGTTCTACACTAAAAAAATGGAGAATCTTAGCCCTGAATTTTCACTTCTGTGCCAGAAACTTGTGGTTATGTTCTGAGGCTTAAATTAGCTCCTGTAAAGCATTTTAAGATTGTTGGTGGAAAGCCACTATAGAAAATCAAAATATTCTGCTTGGCACAAGTCAGTATCTTGTTTTCATATTAGACTTTGGGACATGGACGTTTGTTTGGGGCTCTGTCCACTAGATGGCGGTAGAGTCCAATAAATGACTTTTACACACGTTCTACTTTTGGGCTCCCCCTATTTAAGATGCTAAGGTTGGGGGTGCCATGGAGTTTTGCAGCTGTGGTATTGGATCTGAACATCAGAGCTTAATCCAGATATTCCTGCCCTGGACACTGGGTTTTGAGTCAGAGGTCCTGGGTTCAAATGTAAACTCTTATTTACTGTTTCTATGGCACTGGGCAAATCATTCTGACACTCTGGGGCCCTTGGTTTCCTCCTCTGAAAAAGAAGGGGTTTGGAACAGATGATCTTTAAGGTGCTTTCCTGATTTAAATCCTAGGATCATCTGAGTCTTTTTCCTACTGGTCTAGTACTTCTGAATCATAGAGACTATATAGAAATCATTCTCATCATTCCCATGACCAGCCTGTTAGAAGTAGTAGTGCCATTTGGTGTTATTTAGGATTTTAGGTGTTCATCAAAGATGGTGTGGTATCTGAGCATAAGATTTGTTGAGGTGTCCACTTTTTCTTAACTCTCTTCCCTGGTCAAAGCACACTGCTCACCTGCTCTGAAAATGTTGGCCTGCCATGCACAGGGTGGATCCATTCAGTCAATCCAACAAGTATTTATTAAGTACTTGGGTGCATGATGGACATCAAGTATGGCAGGGTTCCTGTCTCCAAGGAGTTTATAATTTAGTTGGCAAAAAAAAAAACAACAAAAAAAAAACCAACAACCAAAAAAAACCGGTTTAGGCATCTGACAGCATTAGAACCAGAACAGATGTAACAGTGTCTATTGTATGGTAAGCATCAAAAGTAAAATAGAAGTTAAAGGAGAGAGAGACTCATGTGAAACAGAACTGCTGTGTTAGGCTTCATGGAGGAGAACAGGGTGGTCAAGTGGAAAGGGCTTAATTTGGAGTTAGAGGACCAGCATTTAAATGTGGGCTTTGCCATCCATCTTTGAGATTTCTGGTGAAGTCACTGTGCCTCTCTGGTCCTGAAGGAGCCTAGCTAGATGACTTCTAATGTTTCTTCCACTTCTAGTGCCTAATGACTTTTGACCTGGATGAAATCGGAACCTGGCTTTGAAGGATGGATTGGATATGGAGAAAGGAATGTAAGGGGAGATGGGGGCAAAGGAATGAGGCTGGAAGTAAGGAGAGCTTTTGCCGGGACAGAGGATGAATGAGAGATGAGTGGTATATCATGGGAAAGAGACTTTGATAGAGAGCTGAGAATTTGGGGAATGAAGAGGAAATTAGGTGGGGAAAGGAAAAGGCAGTCTGGCAGAGCTGATCGGATTGGGAGCTAGGAACTGCACATATCTTGGAGCTATGTGACCATGAACAAGTCACCCTGTCCTTAAGTTTCACCATCTGTGAAATGAGTGAACTGGACTAGATGACCTCTAGGTCTCTTCCAGCTCTAAACCTAGAACCCTATGAGTGTTCCAAAGGACAGGGATACCACAGAGAAACTGGGTTTGAATCCCATCTATGCCATTAATACTAGCTAACATTTATATAGCTATGTGCCTGGCACCATGCTAAGAATTTTACAAGTATTTATGGTGTTATCGTCACAACAATCCTGGCAGGAAGGTACTATTATTATTCCCATTTTACAAATGAGGAAACCGATACAAATACAGGCTAATTGACTTGCCCAGGGTCACAAAGCTAGTGACTGGGCCCGATCTGAACTCGGGGTCTTCATGACTCCACGTCCCACTTACACTTTTGTGATCTGGGTCTCGTTCCTTATTTGTCAAAGAAGGTGGTTAGTCTAGATGGCCTCTGGGGTCCCTTTCAGCTCTAGATCTAGGATCCTAGAGGTCCCTAGACCCCCAAATTAAGGGGGCATTTGTCCAGCAGTTCCATCTCCATGAACGCTGCCCTCTTAGGACTGTCGCTTGTGCTCCCACCTGGAATATCGAGCACACTGCGCCCTGGCGCGGACGGCACCTCCCTGACCTTGGGGCTAGGCAGCCCCCTGGACAGCGGGCGCCGCCGTGGCACCATGGAGCCCCCTGGCGGCCCTGGCGGGGTAGTCGGGCGGCGGCGGTGGCGGCGGCGGCGGCGGCGTGGGGGCGGGGAGGGGGCGGGCGGACGGCGCAGCTCTTCCAGTTCGCATTTGCCGCCTGCGCGCCCGGCTGCCCTGTGTGTCGGAGCCTCGGGACGCGGCCAGGCAGGCAGCCGGAGCTCGCGCTCGCTCCAGGATGTCGGGCTTCCTGCTGGAGCTGCTCGGCGAGAAGCTGGTGGCCGGCGGCGGCGAGGAGGTGGACGTGCACTCGCTGGGCGCCCGCGGGATCTCCCTGCTCGGGCTCTACTTCGGCTGCAGCCTGAGCGCCCCCTGCGCGCAGCTCAGCGCCAGCCTGGCCGCCTTCTACGGCCGCCTGCGGGGGGACGCGCCGGGCCCGGGGCCGGGGAGCGGGGGCGCGGGCGCCGCAGCCCCCGCCGGGGCCGCCGCCGCCGAGCCGGAGCCGGAGCCGGAGCCGCGCCGCCGCCTCGAGATCGTGTTCGTGTCCTCGGACCAGGACCAGCAGCAGTGGCAGGAGTTCGTGCGGGACATGCCGTGGCTGGCGCTGCCCTACAAGGAGAAGCACCGGAAGGTGAGCCCCCGGCCCCGCCGGCTGGCCGGCCAGGCACGTCTGGGAGCGCGCAGCCCCGCAGCCCGGCCGGCCTGTCTTTAGCCTCCTGCCCCCAGGCATGACCCTTCTTCTTTCCTCTCGCCCCTTGTCTCCGGTCTGTCCCCGCCGCACCGCCCGTTCCGCCTGGGGCTGGGTCCGGGGCTCCCGGGGCTCCTCGAGAACCAGGCGGCAAAAAGTTTGACATCCGCGCCCCGCCCCCGGCTCCGTGTTCGTGCTGATTCCCAAAGTGGGTCTGATTTGGCCGAGAATGCCGAAAACCCCCTCCTGGCGCCCTTGATTTGTGGCTCGAGGTGAGGTGGCGACCGGGGAGGATTCTCCTGGGTTCGCCTCGCTCCCTTTCTCTGCCTTTTTTACCCCACCATATTTACAGCATTGAATTAGCTTTCAGATTGCAGTCTATGGAGTGGCCCAAAATGCCTTCTTCCCCCTTCCACAAGATATCCGTGACGAGAAGAAGCTTCTTGGGCTCCATTGGGGAAATCAGTTTTTTTCCACTCTGAAGGACTGAGCCCAGGCCAGCCAGATGTTGCTGGAGGGGCCCCTTCCTTTCCCTCAGCCTATTGACTTCTAGATGATATATAGTCTGCTGTGGGGGAGGGGGATTGGCCCCCTACCCATAATGCCAGGACTAGAAGGCTTCCTCCTTTCGCTCACTGGAAGGAGCGTCCAGGACTAGCATCACTGATATAGATGCCGTGATGATTGGTGCCCCGATGCCCCTGCCGTGTAAAAGGGATCTATGACAAAAGGTTAGCAA